CGAGGTGCGACCTGCTAGAGCTGTGCAAACTACGTACAGCTTCACAGCCTGCAAAGGGTGGGAAGATGCGCCTCCCTTTGCAGTGCTTGCAATAGCTCACCAAGAAACTATTGCAAGCACTAGCAAGCCACAGAGCGTGAATAAAAGCACTTCTGTATGTGAATTGTTGTGTAAATTACGTGTCTATACATGAAAACTCTAAAAAGAGTGTGTGTGTGTGTGTTTGTGTGCGCGCGTGCGTGCGTGCGTGCGTGCGTGCGTGTGTGTGCGCGCGTGCGTGTGCGTGTGCGTGTGTGTGTGTGTGTGTGTGTGTGTGTGTGTACTAAAAAAAGGCAAAAAAAAGGCAAAAAAAAAAAGTCTCCACGTTGGCTTGAACTCAGATCTCCACTGCCCTTGATTTCATTTCCGGAAGGCGCACTTCAGACGGGGCAACTTTTGCAGCAATTTCGAGGTTGCTGGCGGGTTGTTCCCTAAGTTTTCCCAGATCAACACCAATCGCTGAGATCGGGTTCGGCTCGAAATGGAGGAGCAACTCAACCAACTAGGATAAGTGTGAAGCGGCAGTAACGAATGGGGAATCCGATATTTTCACGTGACACCCCTGTGGTGGTGATGATGGCAGCTAAAGATTTGGCTGTGGTTTGAAATAGATCGTTTTTGGAAATAAACCGTTTTAAAAAGATGGTTTAGTATTCTCAGCACATATAAACATGTAAGAAAACATTTTTGTTTATATAACTGCCCATCTAAATAGTGCAAGAAAAATCAAATTTGATGGTAATAATGGCAAGTCGTAGCGATTCGGTTGCTGCGTGTGAACACGGGCGGCCTGTGTTTCTGGCGTTGCGACGTCAAGTTGCTGGGTGGAATTGCGCCGCCTAAAGCGGGCCGGGCCGGCGCCGCCGTCTGCGCGCCGGCCTGGCCCGGCACGCAGACGGCTGCGCCGGGCCGGGTAGTGTCAACGACGCCCACCTGCTGCGCACTGCGCATGCTCGGCGGCTCGGCTTGGCCGCTCCAGAGGCTCCCTCGGCCGCTCTGCTGGCTTCTATGGCTGGCTCGGCGGCTCGGGCTCGGCCGGCTCGGCCTCGGCTACAGCGCAGGCTCGCACCCTCCGAACTGCCTCCGGAACGCGAGCTGGCGCGCGCGGGTGGGCGATTAAAACTCATCTTCTTAAAAAAACGAGGCTGTAAGGCTGTAACATATCATTTTACTTTGCAAATGGACTTATTTTTCACGTCGTTTTTTATGCAGTGTGTGAATCTCGCGAAACGGGCGACGAAGAGTGGTGGATGAAATATGCTCGCATGACATCGTGTATTTTGTGTACGACGTAGGATTACCTAGAAAGGTGGTTCAATATCAATAAATGTGCGCGTAAGAACCGACTACAAGCACGTGACCTGTGAAACCTATTCACGCTCATTATTTTATAGTGCGAACCGAGATTGTCACGTATCGCGTTCGACTTGGGCCCCAACACCGGTGACCTCCAATTATATACCGTGTTCGATGTTCTATATCCCACCGTCGGTAACTTCGTATTGATATCGTATTCGATGTGGTGTCCTAACACCGATAGTTTCTTGTTGTATTGTGATGTTGCGTTGCAACATCGAATTGTATTCCTGTACGTCGGGTTTATCGTTTGGCGATTAACTTGTGTTGCATTACAACAACTGCAATAAACATTTGTTGGAAAACGATCACTCCAATACGCACGTCGTTATTGTGCTTTCTCATTAAAAGGTAGGTCGCGGATGTTCCAGCTGGTTATTCTGAATGGTTTGGTGGTTAAGTACAAAACGAGCGTGTTGGTAACAGTAATTAAACGCGACGAAGATGCATAAAAAGGGAGGACAGACGACGAAGACTTCCAACTAGCAACAACATTCATTGACCCGAAGTTTGCATATATAGGTGAAGGAGGGGAGGGTGAAAGACGCCACACTGTAAAGGGGGAAACGCGATGGGAGAGGGTGTAGAAGCAAGAGAGTGAAGGACGGACCCGTGAGGTTGACATCTAATCGCTTGGAGCTGCGGAAACGATTGACGTCAGCTCTAGCCCCAGGAAGTTTATTCTCTCCTGGATAAGCATGTGGACGGGGACCCGGAGTTGTTGTGACTGTGGTGCATGTCGAAGGCCTCCATGATCTCTCGTCCGTATCTTGAGGCGTGACCTCCAATCCTGGTGGTTGAGGGAAGGTCGGCCGTACAGGGTTCGCTGCTCTCAGAAGTGTGTTTGGCAATCGGGTGGTAACGAATCTTCGAAGTTTCGGAGGCTGCTTTCTTGATCTCGTTTGCATGTTCCCTCACCCGATCGTTTAGGCATCGTCCCGCCTGTCCGAGGTATTTAGCACTGTAGGTCATGGGAATCGAATAGACGCACTCTTTGCAGCAGGTTAAATAATTGATCTGGTGCTTTTTCTGGCACGGGGCCGCTGGACGGGTTTGTTGGTTTTTCTACAAATAGAAGCTAATCCGAACTTAGAGGAAAATACAACGTTGGTGTGGAAGCCGAGCGCAATAGATTTCAGGCGATGTGAGGTGTTACGTATGTAGGGAATGCATGCGAAGCGAGACTTAGAAGGGAGGAGTTTCGACTTCTACCCTGCGGCAAGTCTTTAGATTGTTGTTTCAATCAGGTCTCTCGGGTATCCTGCCTTTATGAGGCGACTAATCTGCTTGTATAGGCTGGGGGCGGAAAGGTGCTGACAGGATTTAACCTTTGCCGAAGCAATTAGGTTTCGAACGATCTTACTTTCTACATTCCTCGAGTGTGAGCTGTTGAAAGGAAGAGCGGGCTTAGCGGACCTCTGCTGGTGAGCCCAGCAGATACATTTGCTAGTCGGGACCAACCTGAGATCCATTAAGTGTAAGCCCTCAAGGGAGGAGGTCTTTTTGTTGAACGTGAGCCCATGTGAGTTCCTCTGAAACACGCTCTCTGCGGCTGCAGGGTCGGAGATGGTAAAGTGTAGGATGAGATAATCGTGAACACAACGAAAAACCTTCACATTGGGAAAATCTCGTTGAAGGTCCGACTGAACTTTGGTGTCAACATAGAACAGGCAAATTTCGCTGACGGCGGGAGCCAAGCAAGACCCTATACAAACGGCGGCTTTTAGAGCGCAGCTCTTGGGCGCCCGTTTCCGGGTTGAGCGGCGTCGGCGTCGGCGTAACCAAGGTCACCCCAAGGTCACGTGACCCCCAAGGTCCCGTGACCCCTCTCAAGGTCAAACGACCACTCTTAAGGTCACCTCAAGGTCACGTGGCCCCCCACCCCGAGATCACGTGACCCCCCCTTCCTCCCAAGGTCACGTGGCCCCCCTCCCCGAGATCACGTGACCCCCCTTCCCCCAAGGTCACGTGACCCCCCTCCCCCCGAGGTCAGGTGACCCCCCGGAGCATATTAAAGAATGAAAGGAGGAAGAGGAGAAGGGGGAGGGGTCTACCCTCCCCTCAGTGCCCTTCCCTCCTCTTTCTCAAGAGCTGCGCTCCAATTCGGCGTTAAAGGGAGTTGTAGACGGCTTTTTGTAAGTACACTTTACCCTCATATTCAACAAGCGTTGATTGGAGATTCAGTTGAGTCAATTCGAGACATGAGGACAGCGAGACGCCACATGAATTTTGAAAGTCTATGACACCCGTCTCGTGGATGGCGTCAGAAATGAAGTCCAGGAGGGTCTTCACGTCCTGGGGCCAGAGCTGACGTCCCTCGTTTCCGCGTTCTCTAGGCTCTTAGATGTCAACCTCACGGGACCACCCTTCACTCTCTTGCCTCTACACCCTCTCCCATCGCTTTTCCCCCTTTCCAGCGTGGCATCTTTCACCCTCCCCTCCTTCATCTATAAAAGCAAACTTCAGGTCAATAAATGTTTCTTTTTCTAGTTCCAAGTCTTCGTTGTCCCCCCCCCCCCCTTTCTATACATCTTCCTCATGTTTAATTAAAGTTTGGTGGTTGTCTAGCAATTCAAGCGCGCGGAGCTGTGGTTACTGTGTGTTGTTCCAACAGCCGTACATACTTCCACTGTCGATCAATGTTAATGTGTTCGCAACGCAGAACGTTTGTGTTCCGTGTGTATCCACACCTAGTATCCTTCTCTCGCGCATTGCCGTGTGGTAACTCGTGCTGTTTTACGATATCACTCACGCGATGTCATATATCTGGGCATACCAATATCCACATGTTGCTTCACGGACGCTCAATATCGCGTTACGTTTCCTCTTAGACCGCGGTATATGCCGACGTAATTCATGTTGGTAACTTGGTATCCGTTCTGAGATAAATGCACGCCATATCATATTGTATTATACTTTGGGCCTGTGATTGACGACCGATATTTATATATCGTGTGGCCGCACAGTATGTCCATGTCGGTCACCAATACGCACGCGGTGTAGTATTCTATTCCAATAACCGTAAGTTCTGTCGGGATATTGTGCTTCGATATCGTGTGGTATACCAATAACCGCAAGTTATATCGGGATATTGTGCTCCATTATGCCGTTGTATACCAATCACCGCATACTATATCGGAATATTGTGCTCCGATATGAATTCCCATCGTGCGTATTGGGTTAATCGGATAACAATAAGTTTTTATTGATTTTCGCCACCTTCATATGAATACAATATTTCCAATAAGCCGAGTTCATATTTGCCTCTTTCAAAAGGGATACAATACAAAGCTATATGATAGAGTGCAGAAGTGCATTCTTACACTGTCAAAACCTTACGAAGCTTTGTTGCCAACCTGTATACCCAGAAAGAACATCAGAGTACGTAGAAACTTATGCATGGATTTAAAATATGTGACTAAAAAATGAATGGGTTTAAGCATTCGACCCTGGATAATGCTCAGTATTCGCCAACAGTTCATTTATTGTAACATTATCTTGAAGTGCAAAGAACCAAAAATATGCGAAATAAAACTGACATTTTTATAATTATCATTAGATATACAAGTGAAACTTCAAACGAGTCACAATTTTTTTTTCTTCAGGCCAATATACACTGACCATTCATTATGTCGGAGAAGAGTGCGTCGTGTATTCAGTGAAAGAATATAAACCATGTAAGTACTAATAGTGATGAAAGGGTCCAAGTGCTGGGCAATCTGGTTATTTGCAAGGGGTATTCGAGGTTAATTAGATTTAAGATTTTACGTGCTGTTCTAATATATTTAATTCGCACACATCAGAGTTATTTTCATTATTGTGTGTGAGATCTGCCTTTGAAGAAAATAACTGCCCCCGTTAGGTTGAGATCCCAGCAGAAGCGTTCCAACAGCTATAATTCCCAAACACACTGGCCAATAAATTTGAAGTTTCTTCTGGAGAATTCGTTTTATATATAGTTTTTACTTGCCAAATTAAGTGAAAGTAAATAGCGTTCGACCTTTTTAATTATGAGATGTTTGAATATTACACCGTTCTAATGTCACAAACCTATCTTTTTCTTTGAGTCGTTTTTTTCTTATACACAAATATTACAGGCTCGTTCATTCTATTGAACTTGATGAAATGCGGTAGTTTTACAGGAACATTGTAAGTGAAAGCAATTACAAAAGGAAATGGAGTGTTTATGAAATGGTTGTAATATTGTCACGAATGACAAATGATGAAGCGGATAATAATTGAAGAAACTAAACGTTGAATGGTGCGAACGTGTGCCCAAAACAAAATAAAAGAAGGTTAGCGTCGTAGGCGTCGATATCGGCGAAACGGCGGGATGGAGCGCTAGGGCGAGACTGACTCCGCTCACCATGCGGAGTCCCCTACGTACACGCGTGGGTTCCTGGAACTTTCGGCGTACAAGATTTAGAGCGTCGAACATACGGAAGTCAATCAGACGGTAAGGTTCGGGATGTTACCAGAACACAAAGTTGACAGAACGAATAAAAGAGCAATCTGCTGACTGGAATCGAACCTGGACTTTCCGCGCGACAGCCAAGCATGGTAACCATTCGGGCACGCACGCGCTCCCTAGGCAACGCGCGTGGCCATATGCCGGGCACATATCGAAGGCGACGTCAAGGACGTCCAGGAGGACATTGAGCAAGACGTCGAGACGACATCAAAGACGGCGTCGAGGACGTCGTCTAAGACGCCCTCCTTGACCCCCTCTAGGGCGACATCAAGGACAGTGTAGAGGACGACATCCACGACGACCTCAAGAATGACGTCTATGACGTCCTCTAAGACGAACTCAAGAACAATGTTGAGGTCGACGTCATTGACGACGTCTAGGACGACGTCAGGGACGACATCTAGAACGACGTAGAGGGAAATATCAAGGATGTCAGGTGACGTCAGCCTCAGCTACCGGGCTTACGCAATCGGTACTTATTCCAACGGAGCTTACGTCACCTTGAGTACGCTATTTTGTGCTTCAGCCACAATCATTACGTGATCTTAATTACGCGACCTTGAGTATGTTACCTTGAGGCAAAGACATGAACTTGAGGGTGGTTAAGGCCTGAGTCACTAAATGAGTTACGCTTTGAGTATCACCACTCCGTTCCGCCATATTGTTGTGGACGCCGCCATATTGAGGCTTGTGCAGAGCAGACGCAACTGACGATCGTCATGATTCAAAAGTGCGACTTCCTCGGCATCTCGTATTACGTGGTAGGAAGGTCATGTAATAATGTCACGAATAAAAACATAAACTTGAATAACAAAACTTAAAATGAACGTTTAATGCGACGACCTTCTGCCGAGGAACATAAAGAAACAAAAAAGACCGTACATACTTTCACCGCGACGGAAGGACGACTGCCTCAAGCAGCCATGCGAAGCTTCATTTGTAAGCCCGTGGGAATCCAGAAGTTTCTGTGCTCGAACGAACAAGAAGATTGTCGAGTCATCTGGAACATTCCAGTCATGCAAACAAAAGATAATGAGGACAAGCACTGACGGGGTCAAACCCCAGCCAGCGGTGTGGGAGTCAATCACGCTGCTAACTCGGCTATTCGCATGCGGCATTTCCCTCGTCTTGAAAAAAAGAAAAAAAAAAAACTCATTGTAGCGATGCCACCCAAAATAAAATTTACAACTCAAAACAAGGTAAGCAGAAACTACAAGAATCACCTAAAACAGAGATTTTCAGTCCTATCGAGCATAGTTGGCCCGTTCGCATGAAGCCGGTTAAATTTAACGGGGTAAAAAGTTAACCGCAATTTTCCTACTAGGCACGTACAAGTACCTAACCAAGTTTGACAAGGGCTGGATGCGTGATAGCTCTGCGTTTTATTATGGGGTGGTAGCTCGTGTCATCTAGTTGTTGAAGCGAATATTAGTATGTTTTTTTTTTAAACTTCTTCAGGGAAATCAAAGCACGCGCGCTTTCCGATTTTCGCGACGCAGCGCGGCATACAATTGAGCATAAGAAAAAACATTTTGTTGCTCGTAGTACAAATTTTAAGCAATGTTAACCCAATCAACCAGTGTTTGGAAAATTATTCAGTGGTTGACTGTCCGAAGTCAAAATCAGCATCGGTGAAATTCCCCTTCCAATGTGAATGAGGTCGACGAAGTTTAGTGCTAGAAACTAATTAGCAAAAAAGTGAGCATCGAAAGGCAGGAGAACACCAACTGCATTATTGGCCAGCATGTAAGAACGATACATAAAACCTTCTTCATGAAAAGAAAGACGCGTAGTTCGGCTTTATTTAAAATTGGTACGCGGTCAGATTCTGAGGGCCATCAATGCACGGCCGATCAAGTCCAAGATAATCCACTAGGATTCCAAAAACGTTGCCATGTTGAAAATTACCGCATCCCTCTATGCTTAGAAGTAACCAGAATCGAAAAACAATCTAAAGTATTTGGCTCGATAATTGCCCATGCTTTGCGCTGTAAGTAAGGTAAGGGAGAGATACAGCCTCCTGCACCATTTATTTCTGACAAATGTGCCCGAGAGTGCAGCCAGTACGACTAATTAGTTCCAAAGCGAGCGACGCTCGCTCGTAGGAGCACCGCCATGTTTCCACGCCTTCCAAAGTCTGCTGGTCACATGACTTAAAATTTCTCCTGTATAGAAATCCGGTTAACGTTCTGCCGCGATTAGAATTAACCAGCTTCAAGCAAACGGATTGAGTTCGAACCGGACGACATGAATCACCTTCGGGTCGGAGACGGCAGCGTGACAATGTTCTTTTTCCGTCAGGCAACTGCTTGTAGTTCAGGTACCTCAGGCAGTTAACGTTGAGGCCGAAGCACCAATTTAACTCTTCCTCGCTGCGACGATGAATTGGTGCTCAGATCCACATCTGTTAGCCGAGCTGGAACTGGGCATCGTGGTGGCGAAGATTGTACCGGCGCTCGCTTGGTAGAGAAGCGGGATAGGACCCTTTGTTAAAGGTTACTCAATCGCCCCCTCTGACCCGTCAACCAAGCGCGATTCTAAGCCCGGCGAGAAGACCACTTTTTGAGGGACCTGAAACTCGGGCCAGCCGCCGCACCCAGTGACAGCCTCCTGAATTTCGTCTGCTGCTGGACAAGCCTAAGCCAAAAAAGGTTACGAAGGCCGACCAGTCGCAGACACCGGCCGTTTCTACTATCATTTTCCTAACCGTCGGACCACGGACCCGTTCAATGGCGAAAAATACAAAGGCGTCGAGGACTGGATCGACCAGTACGAACGCGTTGCTTGCCTCAATGGCTTTGACTGACGAGCAGCGCCTGCGCGTCTATTTCTTTCTTGAGGGGACTGCGATGCGGTAGTGCGAAAATTATGAGTTTTCCTTGACATTGTGGGACGTTTTAAAGTGCAATCTGAATGAAAGGTTTTTCAACCAACACCACCGAAACACAGCCGAAGACCGACTTCGAACCAGAACCCAGTGCCCCAGCGATAGCGTCACCGACTTCGTGGAGGACATTATGCGCCTGAGCGCCCGTGCCGACCCTCAGGCTACAGAAGAGAAAAAGCCAAGAATCCTCATGCGGGGAGTGAGGGACAATATTTTCGGTGGCCTTGCTCGCAGCCCTCCGACAACAGTCGAATAGTTTTTTGTCACCGAGGCCACGAACATCAGGCGTACTCTGCATGCCCGATCCAGTCGCTACCAGAGACTTTCCGGCCTCGCTGCCGTCGAGCCATCTAGCTGCGATCTTGACTTCAGCATCCCAGGCATTCGCGATTTATCGCTCTTCCCGGAGGGCGTCGTCCGGGAAGAGTTCAGGAAGGTCCTGCATGCTGCCAACCAGACGGCTTCGCTGTCGATAGGAGAAGGTCTCCATTAGAACGTTCAACGGGCAATCCACCCGGAGGCTCCTGCTATCGTAGCAGCATCTGAGGCAGCTATCCTGGCATATGCCGCAGTAGCTCGTACACAGGCGCAAGCTACCCGGCAGTATTGGACGCCGCCTCGATGTCAGCAAGTGCCGCAGACTTTCCGGCGTCGGAAATGGCAGCCCGAACTCGTCCACACTGAACAACCGGTGCCTTGGAAGAAAGATGTTTAGGGCACGGCTGGTCAACGACCGCGGTGTTATCACTGCGGCGAGGCCGACCAGGTCTATAGGAGGTGCCAATACCGACAAGTAGGCCTCCGAGGCTTTCCGCCAAGCCACCGGTAACCCCACCTTGGAGAGCGACTAAAGGACATTGAGGAGTGCCTCCGACGCCACCTCTCCTCGATGCCGACTCCACCCCAAGGTTTCCGTTCGCCTTTCCCCCGACGTGCGCTCTCGCCCTTCCGCCGCTCTTGTCGGGACAGCCTGTCCCTCCTATCTCGTCGGGAAAACTAAATGCCGCAGAGCCTGGAGTTGGCTTTGTCAAAGACATTTGCTCGGCAGCAGTGGCGGCAAGGAGAGCATCCGCTAAACCTCGTCGTCGAATTTTTCAGAAGTCGCATCTGCTGACCGCTGAACGTATTGGCCCTGGGATCGTCAACTTGCGTATCTGCTGACCGCTGAACGCATTGGCCCTGGGATCGTCAACGCACGAAGAGACACGAGGCCAAGCCAGCGAAGCCACGTCATCAGGGATCTGCGATAAAGGCGATCAGCGCGATCGGCCAGTTCACATTTGCTCGGCAGCAGTGGCGGCAAGGAGAGCATCCGCTAA